AGTTATATTTATGTGTTTCTAAAGCTGCCTGGAATATATCACTAGTTATAAGGTTATTTCATTGATTTGAAAGAAAAAAAAAATTGGATAATGTTGAATTATGTGTTTTTAAAGACGTAACTAATTAGACTATATATGTCAGTTTATAGGAATTAGCAATTTAAATGTATTTAATTTATAATTTAATTATATATATATATATTACTCAGCACTTACATAAGCATTAAATCTCAACTAATATTCAAGTAACTAGCAAAAGGTTAAACAATGGAATAAATAAAAGGAATATACCTTTGATTATGACCTCAATTGTGATCTTTCAATGTATTAAATGTCCTACAATTATGTCAAACAAACGTTGAATTCTTCATTCTTGATCAACTCAAATCACACGATCTAAATTAAATTTTCAAAATATCATTGGTTGAAATGATTGGCTTACAATAACGAAATTTAAAGATTTTTCCAATTTAAAACATGGAAATATAGTAAATTAGATATCAAAAATTCTAAAAATCATATTAATCTCAACTAATTCTTGATATTTTATTACTTTAATTAATAATTTTGTTGTAGTTTGTTAATACCCGGTTAACGACACATGGAAATTTATAGAATTCAAGGGAAATTTACGAAATTTAAATGGCAAAAAAAATCAAAAATCGTCGAAGTTGAAATTTAACAACGTAATAACTTTTCAATTATCAACAATTCAAAAAACAACAATAAAATATCAATTGAAATATAAACAAGAGATTTAATTACCTCTAACCTTACAAATTGTTGAATTAGTTAAAAAAGAAAAAATCAAAAGCCTAAAGAATTTAAATTTTGGAAAATTTTAAAAGATCTAAATAAAGTCAAGAAATAACAAAAAGTTCAAAATGTCATCAAATCAAGAAGTTTCAGTTCCAACTAATAAATTATATGTTGGTAACATTGAATACAGTACTACTAAAGCTGAATTGAAAGATTTATTCAAAGATTATGAAATGTAAGTTGATGTTTGAACCCCCCTTACCCCCTTTAATGGTATACTAACAATATAGTGACTCAATTGAAATTCCAACAAGATCACCAAGATTTAAAAATGGTAAAACAGGTAAACCAAAAGCTAAAGGTTATGTTTTCGTTACTTTTAATGAATCAGTTAAAGATTTAGATGAAATTATTTCAAAATTTACTGATTATGAATTTAAAGATCGTAAAATTTATTTAAGTCGTCCAGCTCCAAGAGAAGAAGGTGAAACAAAAGAAATAAAAACTAAACCAATTGAAACTAAATCAACTGAAACTTCATCAAAACCAGTTAAAAAATCTTTTAAACCTCAACAATCAAAGGAAAAAATTCCATTTGAAAAAGGTACAAAATCAACAGATACAGTTTATTTAAAAAATTTAGATTTCCAAACTAATGCTAAAGAATTAAGAACTTTTTTCACTGAAGAAGGTGAAGAAGTTAAATGGGTTTCAGTTCCATTCAAGAGATTACCAGGATTTGTTTTGAAAAAATTATCATCACAAGGTAAAGAAATTGAAAAAAGAAATAAAGGTTATGCATTTATTAGATTTAAAATTAATGAAGATGAATCAATTGAAGATAAAGTTTCTAAATATCAAGGTAAATTATTTAAAGAACGTGAATTACAATTAAGTGTTGCTGTTGATGTTAGAAATGTTGAAGGTGAAGGTGATGAAGAAGATGAAGAATAAACAGTTGAACAACTTGTTTATTAAACTCTCACCAAATGATGCTATGTGCTATGTTTATATATACTATTTGAAATCTTTATTGATGTTTGAATAGTTTTGTTATATATCCACACTTGTAGATGAAGATTACCTGTTTTAGTACTTAACCCCTTCTAGTCCGTGCTTTAAATAGTTAATGCGAGTTTCCATACGGATTTCCAGTTTTTCTACCTATCAGTGAAAAGTTTTCATTGTGGTTTAAAGCTGGATATTGGTGGGAAATGACGGTAAATGACTGAAAACATCTCTAAAAAAATAGTAAAATAAGCTTAAAACTAGTCAATGTATGACTCAATTACTACTAATAATCTAAATCTATTCCTAACAATAATCTACTAGTTATTCCATTATTCCACTATTTCTGTTTGTACGGGTACTAAATTTTTTTGTTATCAGGCCGCGAATCCACGCATAATAAAAATTTATAAAAGGAAACAAAAGCGCAGTTCAGAGGCAAAACACAAACAGAAACCAATTCAAACTCAAACAACCAGTATTCATTCGCTATTTTATTTGCTATGTCCATCAAGGAGTGTCCCATTTGGGATTTTGATGATCTCAGTGAATGCGCTAGGGTCAATTACCTAGAAACTGGTTTACCGCTGCTACTTGTTTCTGTATCTATACTGGTTATATTGATTAAAGCATTGGTTAATTATAGGGAAATTTATAAAAATTCAAATTCTGAATATAAACCACTATTGGGCAATGATACGATAGGTGGTCATGGTGCTATTGAAACACAGGATTTCACTCAAGTGATTAAATATTCACATTTTGATATATCTTCTTTACCAAATGTTAAATTAAATGGTAAACCACATGGTGAATTAACAATTGTTCAAAGATCTTTGGGAGAAAAATTAAGAGTTATATTAGAGGAATTACTTATCCTTGCTCAAATTTCTATACAATTTTCAAAAATTTTCACATCTGAAGTTCCTATTTGGTCAATTTCTATTAATTTATTATTATGGGGTTGGTTATTAATTGGTACTTCATTTAGAATTATAAATTTAAATGATACATATAAACATGTTACCAGAATCATACCAAACTTATGGACTAATTCATTTGTTATATATTTATTTCTTTGGTTCCCAAGTTTTATTTCATTAAGATCTGCAATTATTGGTCATACTGCAAAAAACCCACAATATTATATTTGGGATTTTATAATAATTTCAATCTTATTTGTTAATCTATTAACTTCCCACATTGGTTATCATTTACCTTCAATTTATAAAACTGATGAAGAATCAACACCTGCTCCTGAACCAATTACAAGTATTATTTCTTTTGTTACATTTTCTTGGGTTGATAAATTAATTTGGACTTCATATCTTGATACTTTAAAAATTAATCAAGTTTGGGATTTACCTATTGATGATTATTCTTATTATGTTCAAAAAAATTTTAAAATTCTAAGTGATCAACACTCAAATTGGTCATTTGCTATAAAATTAGTTGTTTTTTTCAAAAAATATTTATTTTTACAAGCTTTTTGGGCTATAACTGAAACATTAATCTTGTTTACTCCAACTTTATTATTAAAGAAAATTTTAGAATTTGTTGAAGATGAATCAACAACTTCAAAATCTCTTGCATGGTATTATGTTTTTTTAATGTTTGGTTTTAAATTATTAGCTTCTGTTTCATCAGGTCAAGCTTTATTTTTGGGTAGAAGAGTTTGTATTAGATTAAAATCAATCATTATTAGTGAAATTTATGCAAAAGCTTTAAGAAAAAAATTAGCAACAACAAATAAAAAAGATGATGAAGATGAGAAGACCGAAGGTGAAGATGAAGATCCTCAAAAATCAAATGAGCATAATGGTGATGAAGAAAGTGAAAAAACTTCTGCTAATCTGGGTGCAATTATTAACTTAATGGCTGTTGATGCTGAAAAAGTTAGTGAAGTTTGTGCTTATTTACATGCTTTTGTTGGTGCTACTTTTATGATTATTGTTTCAATTATATTACTTTATAATTTATTAGGTTGGTCTGCCATGATTGGTGCATTATCAATCATTTGTGTTGCTCCTTTATCTTTTAAAGTTAATGGTTATTTAGGTGTCCTTCAAAAGAAAATGTTATCAATTACAGATTCTCGTATTCAAAAATTAAATGAAACTTTCCAAAGTATAAGAATTATTAAATTTTTCGCATGGGAAGATAAATTTAGAGATCAAATTTACAAGATTAGACATGATGAATTATCAATCTTAAAGAAAAGATCTCTGGTTTGGGTTGTTGCTGCATTTTTATGGTTTATTACACCAACTATTATTACATTTGTTAGTTTTGGTTGTTATATTTTCATTGATGGTAAAACTTTAACTACTCCAGTAGCTTTCACTGCTTTATCATTATTTAATTTATTAAGAAATCCATTAGATCAAATCAGTGATATGTTAAGTTTTGCAATTCAATCAAAAGTTTCATTAGATCGAGTTTCTGAATTTTTAAAAGAAGAAGAATCAACAAAATATGAACAATTAACAACAACAAAATCTCAAAATAAAATTGGTTTTAAAAATGCTTCTTTTAGTTGGGATTCAAAATCAGAAATTGATTTTAAATTGAAAAATTTAAATATTGATTTTAAAACCAAGAAATTAAATGTTATTATTGGTCCAACTGGTTCTGGTAAAACTTCTTTATTAATGGCATTATTAGGTGAAATGGAAAAATTACAAGGTGATGTTTATTTACCAGGTTTCCAAGCTCGTGAAGATCTAATAGTTGATGCTGAAGGTTATACCGAATCTGTTGCTTATTGTTCTCAAGCTGCATGGTTATTAAATGATTCCATAAAGAATAACATTATTTTCGCTTCACCTTTCAACAAGACTCGTTATAATAAAGTTGTTGAAGCTTGTGGTTTAACTCGTGATTTTGAAATTTTAAAAGCTGGTGATCAAACTGAAATTGGTGAAAAGGGTATTGCATTATCTGGTGGTCAAAAACAAAGAGTTTCATTAGCAAGAGCTCTTTATTCAAATTCAAGACATATTTTACTTGATGATTGTTTAAGTGCTGTTGATTCTCATACTGCTTTACATATTTATGAAAATTGTATTTCAGGTCCTTTGATGAAGAATAGAACTGTTTTATTAGTTTCTCATAATGTTGCATTAACTATTAAATCTGCTGAATTTGTTGTTATTATGGATAATGGTAAAGTTGTTAATCAAGGTACTCCACAATATTTATTAGATGTTGGAGCTTTAGGTGATGATGAAATGATTAAATCAAGTGTTTTACAATCAAAACAAAATTCTTCTGTTAATTTGAAAAAATTAGCTAATGATGAACAAGATATTTCTAAAGCTGTGGAGGATAAATTGAAAAATCCATCTGAAGGTAAAATTACATTAGTTGATGAAGAAGCTGAAGAATTAGAAAATTTGAAAAAAGGTAAATTAATTGAAGAAGAATCTAAAAGTGATGGTGTTGTTTCTATTGAAGTTTATAAATGGTATTTGAAAACTTTTGGTGGCTGGTCTATAATTTTAATTTTATTAGGAATTTATGTTATTGATCAATTTGTTTATATTTCACAATCTTGGTGGGTTAGATCATGGGCTAGAAATATGGAACAACAAGCTCAACAAGCTATTATGATTACAACAACAATTGTGGAATCAAACATTTATTCTAATACTTTATTTAAAACCCTGGTTAAACCATTAAGTTTATTTATTATTAAATATCATACATCAACTAAAGAATCATTAATGATTATGAAGGAAAAAAATGAATCTGTTTATTATATTACAATTTATACATTATTAGGTGTTGCATATGCAGGAATTTCATCAATTAGATTAATTATTACATTTTTATCTGGTATTAAAGCTTCATCAAGAATTTTTAAAAAAGTTTTACAAAGAGTTCTTAGAGCAAAATTAAGATTTTATGATTCAACTCCAATTGGTAGAATTATGAATAGATTTTCTAAAGATATTGAAGCTGTTGATCAAGAATTAGTTCCATTTGCTGATGGTGCTATTGCATGTGTTGTTTCAGTTTTTTCAATTTTAGTGTTGATTTCATTAATTACACCAGGTTTTATTTTCTTGGCTATATTAATTGTTGCTTTATATTATTCAGTTGCTTTCTTTTACTTAAATGGTTCAAGAGAATTAAAAAGATATGAAGCTATTACAAAATCACCAATTCATCAACATTTTGGTGAAACTTTAGTTGGTGTTAGTACTATTCGTGCTTATGGTATTGAACGTAGATTTTTACAAGAAAATTTAATCAAAATTGATAATAATAATAAACCTTTCATTTATATGTGGATTACAAATAGATGGTTAAGTATTCGTAATGATTTAGTTGGTTCATTAATTATCTTATTTAGTGGTGCTTTTGTTTTATTAAATCTTGATAAAATTGATTCAGGTCTTGCAGGTATTTCATTATCTTATGCTATTGCTTTTAATGAAAGTGCACTTTGGGTTGTTAGATTATATGCAAATGTTGAAATGACTATGAATTCAGTGGAAAGATTACAAGAATATTTATCAATTGATGAAGAACCTGCTGAATATATCCCTGAAAATGAACCTCCAACAAATTGGCCATCTCAAGGTAAATTAGAAGTCAATGATTTATCATTACGTTATGCACCAACTTTACCAAGAGTTATTAAAAATGTTACATTTAATGTTGAACCAAGTAATAAAATTGGTATTGTTGGTAGAACAGGTGCAGGTAAATCAACAATTATTACTGCATTATTTAGGTTTTTAGATCCTGAAACTGGTTATATTAAAATTGATGATATTGATATTACATCAATTGGTTTGAAAAATTTAAGACAAGCAATTACTATTATTCCACAAGATCCTACTTTATTTACTGGTACAATTAGATCAAATTTAGATCCATTTGATAATTATAATGATGAAAATATTTTTGAGGCTTTAAGAAGAGTTAATTTAATTTCAGGTGATGATATTTTAAACAATAATAATAACTTTAATAATGAAGTTGATAGTCAAGATGAAAATGTTAATAAATTCTTAAACTTGGAAAATGAAATTACAGAAGGTGGTGGTAATTTATCACAAGGTCAACGTCAATTAATGTGTCTTGCAAGATCTTTATTAAAATCTCCAAAAATTATGTTATTAGATGAAGCAACTGCATCAATTGATTATGAATCAGATTCAAGAATTCAACAAACTATAAGACAAGAATTTGCAACAAGTACAATTTTAACAATTGCTCATAGATTAAGATCAATTATTGATTATGATAAGATTTTAGTTATGGATGCTGGTGAAGTTATTGAATTTGATCATCCTTATAATTTAATTAAAGATGTTAATTCAACTTTCCATAGTATGTGTTCTGATAGTGGTGAATTAGAAGTTTTAATTCAATTAGCAAAAGAAGCATTTTTAGAAAAATTTAAAAAATAATCAAAATTACAAAAAAAGATATAAAACATTGGGTGAAATAAACCTTTTATGTATATTAGATTTAAAGATTTAAACGTCAAAGAAAACAAAAACAAAAACAAAAATTACAAAAAAAGTTTTTACAATTATTTAAAATTTGTCATATTTATATAGATGAGGGATGGGTGGGTAATAATTTAGATTTCATTATAATACATTTGATTTAGGTATCTAATGCAGACAACTGTAGTACGTAATCAATTTGAATAATTTAAAGTCGTATAAATATTAAAATATAACTATATATATATATATAAGTAAAAAACAGATGGTCATTATCATAAGATCATTTTTCAACTTGTTGCATTTCTAATCATATCATCAATTGCATTAATAGTATTTAAATCAAATTCACCAAAATCAAAATTTGAAAAATCAAAATCTAATTGATTTTTATCAACCCATTCACAACCAGTATCAGATTGTGGAGAAATTGGTTCAAAATTTAATAAAGAATCTTGATTTGTTGATGAATTTGGTAAATTTGTTGGCCATTCCATTATTGGTGTATTAAATTGTGGGATTGGATCATGATTTAAAATATTATTTATATCTGTTGGTGGTAATGATAATGAATCTTCTTTTAATTGTGGTTCTGATGATATTGTTGTGTTTGATGGTGTTAAGATGTCTGAATTTGATGACATGTTTGTGTTTGTATTTGATGATTCATTTGATTGATTATTATTTGTTGATTGATTCGATGATTTATTTGAATTTTTCTTTAAGGATAAATTATTAAAATTTGTTGATTCAATTTTTCTTGAAGCTTCAAATTCATCTTCTTTTGGTTTTGAATTTGAAAACATAATTTCATTATGGAAATGAGAATGTAATTTTTTAGATAAATCAGGTAATAATTTTGTTATACTATCTAATAAATAAGTTGCAATCTTGGAACTTAAATACCAATGTTGAGAAATTTGATAAATTCCTGATAATTCTAATTTTAAATATTCTTCAAAAATTTTTAAATCATTTGTATTAAAAGAACCTAAATTTTGATCATCATTTTTTGATTGAGTAATTTGTGAATACCAAACATATGAAGATAAATGAACTAATCCTGCAAATGCTAAAGAACATGTACTTAATGGAGTTCTTTTAGTAATATCTAAAGGATTTGTATCAATTAAAGTTTTAGCAATTGAATTTGCTGCATCAATAGTTTTCCTTGTTTCAATAATTTTTCTTGATTTAATTAAATTTTTATCATTTGGTACATTTCTTTCTTCATTATTTAAATGATTATTAAATAATTCCACGGATTTTAAATTTTTTGGTATATCAGGTCTCCAAAGAAATGATAATGGACGATGAGTGAAAATTTTGGCATAATTTAACATTATTATACCCTGGTGAATACCATTATTTACTCTACCCATTCCATCAACTAAATAAGGTAATTTATAAAAATCTGGTTTGGAAAATCTTAATTCCCAATTTGATAAAGATGCAGTCAATTTAATATAATGATTCCCTATTGAAGAATTTGAAAAAATGATATTATTTAGTCTAACAGAATCATCAACTAATTTAGAAGTAGAAGCTCTTGTTTCATAATCAAATTCAAATTTATCAGGATGATTTGGATAATTAACAAAACAATTTAATGAAGTTAATACAGAAACAGTTTTACCATCTGAACAACCCATAATAATATCCAAGAAGAAAATATCCCAAAAACATCTTCTTGCACAATCTTTCAACATTTCTTCATCTATTGATCTTATTCTTTTAGTATTTTGGAAATTTATATTAATTTCATTATCACTTGAATCTTCATTATTTTTTGGAATTTCATTCCCATTTATATCAAAATCATTTTTAAAATCATTTAAATCTAAATTATTTATATCTAAATGAGTTGCCAAATTGATACATTTTATTCTTAGTGATCTACTTAATTCATGTAATGCCGAAATATGACAAATTAAAGCTAATAAAGTCATAGTTTGTAATGAAATTAAATCTTTTTCAAAACTTTCAATATAACTATTAATTTCCACAACTATATCAAATATATTATTTATATTTTTAGAATATGTTGAAGTTGAATAACCATCACCCATTAATTTCATTGCTGCTAATAATTCTTTTGGATAATTTGCAAATTTTAAATAATCTTCAATATCTATTAATGGGGGTAAAAAAGGATGTGAACAATGGAAATTTGAATAATAATTTGAAATGATTGATGATACATCAAAATTTTGATCTAAATAATTCGAATCAGTTTCATTATGACTATGATTATGATTATGATGATGATCTTTTGATTCATATTTGACATTAAAAGAATCAATATCTATAGGATCTTTTGGTCTTTTATTACATGGTAAAGAATCAATTCTTCCATCTTTTACAAATCCACAACTTGTTGAATCATGACCTTGAGGACATTTTTTATTTTTTTTATTAGCTTTTGGATCATTATGACCATCCATACAAGGTAAAACAGGTATTTGAACATTAATTCCCTTTAATTCATTCTTATTAGAATCATTATCCATCTTGATTCTCTTTACTCCCTTTTTTCTTGAACCACCTCTATTACTTTTAACATATGAACAATCTTTATTTTGTTGAGTACATCTCCCACATTTAGGAAATTCACCATCACAACGTAAATGACGATGACGACATTCTAGACAAGCTCTTGAGACATGTTTAGCATTGTTACGTTTATCAAGGGATGGACTTCCAACTTCACTCATTTCAAACCAAGCATCAATTCAATAAGTTGTTAATTTCAATGGATACAAGGAATATATCTATGGGGCTTCCAATTCAGCAAATTAACCAGCAAAAAACCAAATTTCTAAACCACAGTATTCTTTATCACAAAGAGAAGAGTAACCTAATATAACCAGTAGAAATCAGCTCTTTGCAACGTTGATTTCTCAGTGGAATTGCTTTAAATTTGAAATGAATTTGATGTTTTTGTTTATACTTATATTTTTATTTTTCTTTCAACGCTGAGAAAATGGCCCACCAAAAACCAAACAAAATATAAAATGTAGTTTATTTCAAACTTTTGATAGTGATATTGATAAAATAAAGCTCACTTTTCAAGTTATCAATCTCAGATTTCTATGAGTCTATGTTTTTCTCTACAAAATTCGATTTGTAATATTTCAGAATTTCAATTTTATGGATTTATTCGATTTTTTAAATTACTATACACAATTTCAAACCCCGAGGTTTGTGTTTGGGGACACACCATAATAAACTAAATTGATATTTTAAATCATCAAATATATATGGATTTTGATATATTTCATTTGTTTATTGGGTTCCCTTATATTTGTGTAATCTTCTTCTTTGTATCAACAACTCCATTATCATATTCATAACGTAAATAACCCCATGTGAAATCAACTAAAGTACTTATAATCCCCAGGGAATAAACTAAAGTTATTGCATAAAAAAAATTTGAATTACCTGAACCTAAATCAATCCAAAGATGATAAAAAATTGGTGAAAGGATAACAGTATGTAAAATTAATAAAATTGAAATCAATGGATAAGTTAAATATGGGAAAACAGGTTTTAATAAAACCAAGAAATTTATATATAATGATAAATCACCTAATGATGGATAACTTTTACTATAAATTAACCAACCCCAACTTAAAATAAATGCAAATATACCATTCATTTTGATAGTGAATGGAATTATGAATGCCACATTATAAATATTGAAAACTGCATTATAAAAAGGAATGAAAAATTCAAACATTTCTGTAAAATAATACCACCATAATCCTAAATTTGGTGAAATTTTATTAAATTTTAATATAGTTCCATATGTTGAATCAATAAATTTCCAATTGAAGTCCATGATATAATAACTTGTACCAATTAATCCTAAAATTGATAAAATTGTTAATATAATGAATTTTATAACATTATTCCATTGATTTGTATTTTGATAAATTAATTTAGAAATTGGGAATATTAAATAAATTGGATGATATGATAAATATGATGCAATTGCAAAAGAAATTGAACTTTTGATTAAATCATTATTTAAAACTGAATCTAATGTTAACACAATAAAGAAATTTTGAAACAAAACAGTTGATTTACTTAAACAACTGAGGATAGCCAAGGGATTAATAGCATAGATTAACCCAATAATCCAATTTGCAAAAAAAATTGATTCATTTTTATAAGATATCTTCTTTGAAATATTAATTAAATAATAAACAATAAAACAATCAATCAATGTATAAACCAAATAATCAAAATCTTGAATATATTCATAAGCTAAGATCAATAAAGGTTGATGATGAACAACACCACCATCATATGGATTGATTTGATTTTGTAATAAATATAATCCTTCTTTTAATGATTTATATGATGTTATTAAAGTTGATAATTCAATTGATTCTTCTAATTTAATAATTATATTTGGTGCTATAAGAAAGATGGAAATCCTTATTATGAATGCCAATATGATGGCTTTTTGTTCCATTGAGACCATTGTATATGATCTCTTTCCTTTCTTCTTTGGTCTAGTTTAATGGTATAGATCTCTAATATCAATTCATTCAATATGAGATTCTTCAATATGTTTACTAAAAACAAATAAATTCGCGTGTTCTTATGATTGATTATGTAATACTTACTACAAATATTATGTAATCAATAAACACGTGATTTGAATACCTCGTAAATTACCTAATTAGGCAATAATTCCGACTGATCCCCGTAAATTTATTTCCTAATTTGTAAATTTAAGAAGAAATGATCATAATTGGAAAAGTAATAATATAGAGGGGATAATTTCAAATTGAGTTATGAATTTAATATTTGTTTATTATTTGATTTGATTTTATCAGTTTATTTAGGGTTTGTGCCTACCTTTAAACGTTTAAAGTTGCGTAAATTGTAATCCTTGATTTCCTCTTTGGGACAATAGGCTGCATATATTCAATTCACATGTGCTTATCATTGAAAAATCAAGACAATTGATAAAATACAACCAACGTGGTTTACTAAAAGAAAGCGACAAGAGATTTACGATGTAATGTTTACAATTTGTTTAAATAGAGTTATGAATCCTGTTTTGAGCTCTCCACAAGACCTTTTAACTTTATATCCAAATCAGTTAAAATGTCAACAGACCCTGAGAAGTCTAATACACAAGCAGTGGTTGCTAGTATAAATGATTCAAATGATCACAAGGATTCCATAACAGATTCTTTACCTTCATACAAATTTTTCCAATCTGCTAAAGGTGAATTATCAAATTATGATTCAACAGATATAGTTCTTCGTACGAAGATTAACTTAATCAATGATGCATTAGATGAGATTGGATTTACATGGTATCATTTTAAATTATATTGTTTAAATGGGATGGGTTACGCTGTGGATTCAGAATTAACATTTATTCAATCTTCAGTTGCACAATATGTTAGATATCAATTCAATCAAACTTATCCAGCAGATTCTCATGCTATTTATGCTGGTCTTTTAGTTGGTGCTATATTTTGGGGATTTGGTGCAGATTTAATTGGTAGAAAAATTGCATTCAACACTTCATTATTATTAAGTGCTATATTTGCTATATTAACTGGTGCAATGGGGAATTTTGCAACTTATTGTCTTTTCGTTGCATTTTCTGCAGCTGCTTCTGGTGGGAATCTTGTTTTAGATACTACAGTTTTTTTAGAATTTTTACCAAGTAAATATCAATGGTTAGTTACTTTAATGGCTTCATGGTGGGGTGTTGGTCAAACTATTGCTGTTTTAACTACATGGTTATTTTTCAGTCATGATGAATATATTTGTTCTGGTGGGTTAGGGGATTGTCCTTCTGGTGAAAATATGGGTTGGAGATATGTTTGGTTTGTTAATGGTGGATTTGTATTAATTGTAGCTATTTTAAGATTAACAATTATTAAATTAGAAGAAACTCCTAAATTTTTGGTTTGTAATCAAAGAGATGAAGAAGCTGTTTTATGTTTACAAAAAATTGCAAATAAATATAATAGATCATGTTCATTAACTGTGGAACAACTACAAGAATGTGGTCAAATTACAGGTAATGAAAATTTCTTATCAAATCCAACATTTATGTCAACTATTAAATCAATTAAAAAGCATATCAAAGTACTTTTTTCAAATAAATTAATGGCACTTTCAACTTCATTATTATTTTCAAAATGGACTTTATTAGGTATTTCATATCCATTATATTCAAATTTCTTACCAATTTACCTTGCTACAAGAGGTGCAAATACATCAGCAGATTCTACTGCAGGTGTTTATAGAGATTCTGTCATATCAAACGCATCATCAATAGGAGGTGGATTAATCGGTGGTGCCATATTATATCTAGTACCAGTTCTTGGTAGGAAAGGTGTTATGATTATTGGTGGATTAATTTCAATGGCTTTATTCTTTGGTTATACAGCTGTACGTACAAGATCACAAAATGTTGCATTATCAAGTTCAGTTTATGTTGCTATAAATATTTATTATTCTTGTCTTTATGCTTATACACCTGAAGTTATGCCATCAAGTGCTCGTGCCACTGGGAATGCTATTTCTGTTGCATGTATGAGAGGTATGGCTTGTATTGTACCTGCTATTGCTTATTTTAGTGATACTTCTTCAAGTATACCTGTTTGGATTTGTGGTGCTTGTGTTGGATTGATTAGTATTTGTTCAATTTTCTTACCTTTTGAACCATCAAAGCAAAGAGTTGCTTAAATTTTGAAGTGTATTATTATTTATATTGGCTACGCATATATGTATTCTTGCATTATATTTAATTCTTATGTAAAAGTTTATACTTTCATTTCTATGTACATTTATTTCCATCTTTATTTATTCATTTATTTTTTGGATTTTGATCTTCATCTGGTCTCAACATGAATGTCTTCATTGATCTATTTGTTTTCTTAGATCCTGTAATCAACTGTTCAAAATCTTGTTCTTCCAATTCTTTTGTTAATTCTTCTTCAGATATTGGTCCTTCATGATTTCTTTCTAAATTCTTTCGTCTTTGTTTTAAAGTTTTCTCTAGTTTTCTATCTTCTTTAGAATGTCCAGGTAATTGACCAACAACACCTGCTATGATAGTTTCAAGAGGTTGTTCTTGTTCTTCAATTTCTAATTTACGTAACATACGCTCACGACTTTCAGCAAGGATTTTATCTCTAACTTCTTTTGTTTGATATTCTAATAATTCATAATCAACTTCTGGATCAACAAACATTTGTCTTGCTTCTTCTTCACGTTGAGCTAATTCCTCTTTTTGTCTCTTTAATTTTTCCATTTTTTCTCTTGATCTTTCAGTTTTCTCTCTAGCTAATTTAGCTTTTTTCCTTTCAAATGCTTCTAATGCAATTTTTCTATTAAATTTTGGGTTTCTAATAGCATCAACTTCTAATGCTAATTTCTCTCTAGCGATTTTTCTATTTTGTTCACGACTTCTTGTTTCTTGACAATCAACAACAATACCATATTCTATATGTTTTAATTGAACTTTTGAATTTGTCTTGTTAATTTTTTGACCACCTGGTCCACCACCTTTAATGAAAACTTCTGTAAATTCAGATTCATCAATAGTTGGTCTTGGTGGTAATCTATTTGGTCTAACAATAATCCTTCTATGAGGTCCACGCTTTTTAGGAGCATCTGGATCATCAGGATCCCCTTTAAATCTCCTTCTTCTTTCTTCTCTACCTTTCATGGCATCTTCTTCCCTAATTCTTCCAAAATATCTATTATTACCAACACCTTTGAATCTTTCATCATTAAATCTATCATAACCTCTCTCTTCTCTACCTTTCATGGTATCTTTTCCTCCTTTTTTCCCAACATTTCTATTATTTTGTTTACTTTTAAATCTTTCATCATTAAATCTGTCATATTCTAAGCTTTTAAAGCTCTGAGAAAACGCTCTCACCAAGGGGAAACCTGTCACCTTGAGCCCAGAGTAAACCACACCTTTAGAGCACAATGAACGACCAAACAACAGCATCTGAATACCCAAATCACCTACTTTTCCAATGATTTCCATAATCAAAAACTTTTAAATTTGGAGTTCAAAATCTCAAATTTTATTATATTTCCGGTTCGCACAACATCCGGTCTTTTTTTTTTTTTACTTTCCATATAATAAAAATCGAAATTTGTAAATACAGAAAACATCAACAAATTTTTAAGAAAAGTTTCTTTAATTGTTGATTTCGAATTGTTGGTTGTTTATCTGTTCAGGATGAGTACAAACGAGAACAATGGTAATAAGAATGGTCCGGTATGTTCAATGCTTTCGTGTTGGTTGTTCCAATTGTTTGAAGAATATTGTATTAACAAATAATTAGAGTAATGATAGTGATTCATTGAAATTCATGAATTTGGGTGGTGGTAATGAAGTCGGGAGATCGTGTCATATAATGCAATACAAGGGAAAAACAGTGATGCTTGATGCAGGTGTTCATCCAGCTTATTCAGGAATCGCAGCATTACCATTCTATGATGAATTTGATTTAAGTACTGTTGATATCTTATTAATTTCACATTTCCATTTAGATCATGCTGCTTCTTTACCTTATGTTATGCAACACACAAATTTTAAAGGTAGAGTGTTCATGACACATCCTACAAAGGCGATTTATCGTTGGTTATTAAGTGATTTTGTTAAAGTTACATCAATTGGTTCAAGTAGTTCAAGTGCATTATATACAGATGAAGATTTATCTGAAAGTTTCGATAGGATTGAAACTATTGATTATCATTCTACAATTGAAGTGGATGGGATAAGATTCACTGCTTATCATGCTGGCCATGTCTTGGGTGCTGCCATGTTTTTCATTGAAATTGGTGGATTAAAATTATTATTTACTGGTGATTATTCAAGAGAAGAAAATCGTCATTTAAATCCTGCAGAAGTTCCACCAACAAAACCTGATGTTATGGTTACAGAGTCAACTTTTGGTACAGCTACTCATGAACCAAGATTAGAAAAAGAAGTTAGATTAACAAATTTGATTCATTCTACTTTAATTAAAGGTGGTAGAGTTTTATTACCAGTTTTCGCATTAGGCACAGCACAAGAATTATTATTAATCTTGGATGAATATTGGTCTCAACATCAAGATTTAGAAAATGTTAACGTTTATTATGCTTCATCATTAGCTAAGAAGTGTTTAGCAGTTTTCCAAACTTATATCAATATGATGAATGATAATATAAGAAAACAATTTAGAGATCAAAATTCAAATCCTTTCCAATTTAAATATATCAAAAACATTAAAAATTTGGATAAATTTGATGATTTTGGCCCCTGTGTCGTTGTGGCAAGTCCTGGGATGTTACAAAATGGTGTTTCAAGAGAATTATTAGAAAGATGGGCTCCAGATTCAAGAAATTCAGTAATTTTAACAGGTTACTCGGTTGAAGGTACGCTAGCTAAAACTTTATTAACAGAACCTGATCATATTCCATCTTTACAAAATCCTGATAATAATGTTCCAAGAAGATTAAATATTGAGGAAATTTCATTTGCTGCTCATGTTGATTATGAACAAAATTCAAAATTTATTGAATTAGTTGATCCAAAATCTATTATTTTGGTTCATGGTGAATCAAATCCAATGGGGAGATTAAAATCTGCTCTTTTATCAAAATATTCAAAATTTAAAGGTACAGAAAATGAAGTTAGAGTTTATAATCCAAGAAATTGTGATGAATTAGATTTAAAATTAAAAGGTTTGAAAATTGCAAAAGCATTTGGTTCAATCGTTGCTGAAAAGGATAAAGCTGATACATTAAGTGGTGTACTTGTTTCAAAAGATTTTGATTTAAATTTCATGAAAGTTGATGATTTAAGAGAATATGCAGGATTAACTTCTACAATTGTTAAAGAACGTCAAACTATTAGAGTAGATGCTGGTAGAGATTTAGTTCAATGGCATTTATCACAAATGTTTGGATATGTTGAAATCTTGATTGATGATAAAGAAGAATTTGAATTAAGAGTTATGAATGAAATTACTATAAATTTAATTAATGGTATTTGTACTATTGAATGGACTGGTGGTGTTATTAATGATACTATTGCTGATTCCGTTGTGGCTATCTTATTATCAGTTGATTCATCACCTGCATCCGTTAAAATTTCATCAAAATCACATACACATGACCACACCACTAATGGACATGATCATGATCATGATCATGATTCTCATTTAAATGGCTCATTAGCAGATTCAAGAGTATCAACAAGAATAAAAAGAATTGGTGCTATGCTTGAAGCTCAATTTGGTGAAGCTTTTCAAAATAATGATAATGGTGAAGGTGCAATAATAAAAATTGGTAAAAATGAAGCTAAGATTAATTATTATGATTTAACTGTTGATTGTACTTCAAATGTTTTAAAAGGTAGAATTGAAAATGTGCTGAATAGGGCAACTGAACTTGCTGCTCCATTATCTCAAAATCGTAAGATTGAAGCATAAAGAATAATAAACGAAAGGGAACAATTAAAGATAAAGGTCCAAAGAAGATCTTGTAAATGAAATGTGTTAATGAATATGTATTTGTATCATAGAATAAACAAAAGTCATGGTTTTTTAATAAATAGAGTTATTTATATACTTTTTTCTTATGTATTAGCTCTTTAGTTATAGTCGAACTAAAATCTTCTTAAAGTTTATCTACAAATGCACTACATTATAGATGTTAAACCCATTAAGCTCTTATTATATTACACTATTATATATATTAAATGAATTATATTAACTTTTAAAACCAAAACATGTAGAAAACACCATAACGATATAACCCAAATTTACCCGAAACAATAAAATAATAAACCAATTAAACACCAGATCTCAAAATTCTTTGTCTTTGATTTCTAAATGTAATTGATTCATGACGTTCCAATACAAATAATGCTTTATCAAGAGCATGTTGAGAATAATTCTTACCTGCAACAAATTCATTTCTTAAAGTTTGATAACTTGTTGACCAACCAATTGGTAATCTTCTTCTAACTTCATTTTGAATCTTATCAATTTCAACTTTTAATTTTGGTGCTGTAGTTATATTACCTTGATTTGCTGCATCCATTGTTGAAGCTTGGAATAATCTAATTGCTTCATCAACATGTTCTTCAGTTGCAACTGGTAATAAACGTAATTTAGCCAATGATTCAGTTATACGAATAATAGCTTCTAATTGACGAATTGTAATTGGGATAGATGATCTTTGATCACTTAAAGCTTCAGCATCATTTATAGTTTTTCTAATTTCAACAAAATGTGAACTTAATTTTTCTGCAGCTTGTTCAGATAATCTTGGTGCACATTTAGCACGACAATAAGAGATATATCTCTTCATTTTATCAATTGGAATTTCACCTGCAATTTCTTGTTGTTGATTTCTACCAGTATGAATATTTAAAACATGATTAGCAATTGAAACATCTCTACCTTCATTATGATCATCTTTAACCACGAAAATCATATCAAATCTTGATAAAATTGTAGTTTGGAAATCAATATTTTCACCAGGAGTTTTCATATCATCATAACGACCAAAAATTGGATTTGCTGCAGCTAAAACTGAAGTTCTTGAATTTAAAACTGTAGTAATACCAGCTTTTGCAATAGAAATAGTTTGTTGTTCCATAGCTTCATGGATTGCCACCCTATCTTCATCTCTCATCTTATCGAATTCATCAATACAAACAACACCACCATCTGCCAAAACCATAGCACCACCTTCTAAATAAAATTCTCTTGTGGTGGAATCTCTTTGCACAGAAGCTGTTAAACCTGCAGCTGAAGAACCTTTACCAGATGTATAAATTGAAATAGGACTTGCCTTATCAACGAATTTTAACAATTGAGATTTAGCAGTACCAGGATCACCTAATAATAAGACATTAATATCACCTCTTAATCTCATACCATCTGGTAATAATTTTTTAGAACCACCCATTAATAAACATGCAATAGCTTTTTTAATATCTAAATTACCATAAATTGATGGAGCAATTGAATTTGAAAATGATTCATAAAGATCTGGATTTCTTGACATTTCTAAAAATTCTTCTTCTTCTTCTTCTGTATATATAGCATTACCTGCAGCATTATGATCAACATCTGTCTGTATACCTAATACTCTAATATATGGGTTTCTAATAGCAACAGATGAAGCATTTTTAACTTTTGATTGATAAATGGAATAAATACCATTAATATTACAACGAGTACCTGGAACAATCTTATTTGTTAAATAACGATCAACTGAAAGTAATACATGTCTAGGCATTTCACCCACTGGAACCATTTCTGGTAATTCTTGTAATTTTAAAATTTGTTGATCAATAAATTGTGATTTATCATGAACAACTAAATATGGATCAGGAGGACATTGAGATCTTTCACCATCAGCTGGAGTTGCTTGACATGATTTAGGTAATTGTAACCCACCAAAACTTGAATTAACAGATAATCTTATAGTATGTCTACATGAACGACACATGATTTGAACAGAAGTAGCCTTGGAACTTAACACTGAAGCACTGATAATGATACCGCTAACACGAATGATTTTGGAAATATGATCAGCATCTAATTCTCTAATTGATAAAGTTGAAGCATTTGATTTAAGAATTAATTGACACACTGGGAAATTGGTTGGAACTTCTGAATCTTGTAAGAAAACAATTCTTTTAGCAACATCAGTAATAGCTCTTTCAAATAAAGGAATCATATCAGAAGGATCATCCATTAAACCTTTATTTAAAGTTTCATTATAACCAATAAGATGTTCATTATCAACAGTTAAAGAATATTCCTTCACTAATAAGTTTTCACGTAATTGATTACGGTATAAGAAATCAGTACCAACTCTATATTCCAAAACAAAATTCTTGAAAGCTGTGATAATTTCTTGATTTGTATCTTGTTCAGATTCTTCACCAGGAAGAACTGGAGCACGATAAACTGCTGGAGCATCAAATGACATTGTGGAAGGTTGGGAAAAGTTGTTTTTGTTCAAAGGTCTGTGTGTATAAGAACAGTGAGGAAGGTATTGTTTTGATTAATTTATCAAAATCTCGAATAAATCTGCCTTGTTAAACGTTTGAGATGTCAGTTTAAGATGTAATTAATTTACCTAAATTGGAATTCTTTATATCGAAAAAACGCGACATTTCAAATTTTTTTTTCGCGTCGTAATTTTAAAAAACCGAATGAAAAATCCCAATTAGGAAGGAGACTAAAAGAGGGAAATACCGGTAGGACGATCACGTTTTCAAGCCACCGGAATTCGCAACATTAATTTAAAACTTCAACTTTTCAATTTTATAAGCAAAAACAAAGTATGAGTTAAATTGAACATTTGATATAATAAGGGAATCTCAAATCTTTGATATATTTTTTATACTTATAAAAGGAAACAATGGCGTATGTGAATCGTTAATTAATCAAAATATTGATAATTTTACTAACCATTATTGCCTTTAGTGAACTACTAGATCGTCCAAAATCAGAATTAACTGATATTGAATTACAAAAACTTGAAGAATATGAATTTACACATGGACCAATGGCCATATTACAAGATTCAGTACAGAATGGAACACAAGTCCTAATATCATGTAGGAATAATCATAAATTATTAGCTAAAATAAGAGCATTTGATAGACATACAAATCTTGTATTAGAAAATGTTAAAGAATTATGGACAGAAACTCCAAGAAATTCAAAAGGTAAAAAAGGTAAACCTGTATCAAAAGAAAGATTTGTTAGTAAGATGTTTTTAAGAGGTGATTCTGTTATTGTTGTTTTGAAAGCATAGATACAAAGGAAAAGGAAGAGAATATAACATATGAACAAGAAAATACCAACCCCCTGTATACTAGAAAGTTTGATTTGAATTCAAATTTAGCATTTGCTATTATATATATACTATACACTGTAATAATAATGGAATTTTGCAAATAAATGAAGTGAATGAATGAATTGATATTGTAGTCCAACTTACAAGAAAATTTTATTTCTATTTACATATATGCATGAATAAAGTATCTATACAAGTTTATATTTTGTTTAAAACACTGGAAAAACACAATGAAAGGGTTTAAGCTGGACTAACAGTCAAGTTAATAGCTATATTTTCTTCATCTTTCCAAATTAATAAGTTATAATCATCAAAAAGTTCAATTTTATTAATAGTTTCATTTGAATTAGATTTGATCTCTAAATTTGATTCTTGAATTTTAGAAGTAACAGATGAATTAATGAAAGAAACAATATCTTTTTTGGTTAAAGCTTCAGATAAGTTTGTATCATTTAAACCTGGTTTATTAATTGTTAAAGAAGTTGATAATTCACGAGATAATTTAAATAATGATAATGAATCTGATGGTGAAATATTTGTCTTTGGAGTTGATTGAGAATTAGTTGGAATGTTAAGTAATAACCCTGGGATTTTAATTTCTGGTTTACTTTGTTGTTTTGGTTGTTGTTTAATTTCTGGTTTAATTTCTATTGGTTTTGGTTTTTCAACTTTAACTTGAGTTTCAACATTTGTATTGGAGAACGTTAGATTATTTCTCTTTGGTTTCACCACTGGGATTCTTGGACCTTGATTTGGTAAAATATATGCAGCACCATTATAACGATGTAGAGTATTTCTCATTAATGAATGTGAAACTTTAACAATTTGACCTTTAACACCAACATTTGGGAAATCTTTTAATAATTGAACTTCAGCTTTATTAAGTCTTTTAGATCTGGCAGAGTATCTAACGAGCGGTATTCTTGCACTTGGTAATGCCTTGTATAGTATGGAACTCATTATGAATTTGTGTACTTGTGTGTATTCTTTCAAATTCTACGTACTTAATTTATTTCAAGTTCTTCAATTGATCTCTCTCGATTTTTCATTAACACATTGGAAAAATAATTTTCGCGAACAAAAAAATCTACCACTATTCAAAAATGTTAGTGATGAAATTTACACTGATGAATTTGCACCATTCTCAAAATTACACATATAACCATTTAAACAAAATTTAAATTTAAATTTATTTATTTATTTATTTATATTACAAAGCTCACCGGTTTTATCTATTCCAATTGATTATAATCAATATCTTCCTCCACGATCCCATGATATTCATTAGTCAATTTCTTAGCCACTTTCCATAAATGAACAATATTATCATCAGAACTTGTAGCTAAAGTCCAAGGAATATTTGGATTAAAAGAAAGATCAGTTATACCTGATGTATGACCTGCATGCATCATAAATAATTCAGGTGCACCATCATCTTCATCTTCTTGAATTTGTTCTTCACCAATTTTTTTAATATCCCAAAGAATAACTCTTCTATCTTGAGAACCTGATGCAATTATTCCATCATTATGAGGATCCCATTCTAATGAAGTTATAGATTCTGAATGTCCCATTATTGTATGTAATTTCTTGGAAGGATTTCTTATATCAAACAATTCAATAGTGGCATCATCTAATCCAACTGCAAATAAATTTGATGAATGTAAAGAAAATGAAATTGTATTAACCGCAGCATGACGATTAATTAAATGTAATGGTGTTGAAAGGGAGGTTCTTATATCAAATAATTGTATAGTTTTATCTTCACTAACTGAACCAAATACATTAGCATTATGATTATGCCATTGAACATCATTAACTATATCACTATGATGTTTGAAAATATGTTTTGGAGTTATTGTTGATGTTGATTGATTATTGATATCCCATAGAGCAACAGTTTTATCATCAGATGAAGTTAATAATTGTCCTTGATTGAATTTATTCCATGAAATACCATACCCATTTTCAGTATGATGTTCCAAATGGAAAATTGGTTCCTTTGATTCTAAAGTTGTATCATAAATAAATACTTTACCTGAACCATTTATTGTACCAATTTTAGTTGGATCTTGAGGTTGATAACGAGCACGATTCACTTCATCTTGATGTTTAAATTTCTTATTGACTTTTAATCTAGCATTGAAACCTTGTTTTTGATAATCAGCAGGTCCTTCTTCTTGTTGTTGTTGTTTACCATTGGTATCTACCAAACTTTTAGGTAATTGAGTAGATGCAATCTTTAGATAATCTGTATCTTCACCAGAAGTATGAGTTCCCAATAATATTCTGTGTTTGATCCCTGTAGATAATACTTCTTGGTCAGGAAGCCATTGAACAGTTAGACTTGGCCATGTTAAAGCTGTTTCTGAAACAAACTCATACATCAATGGACAATTCTTTCTCCATAATTGATATTCTTCTTCAATAGACAATTCCTTTTGAGGATTTTCATCGTCTTCTCCAGCTGCAATTGCACTGAGTTCTTCCTGTGTTTTCTCTTCCAATGCCTTCTTAACAGCTGCCTGAATATCACTCATCTTCTACTCTTTTTCAAATCTTTTTTGGTGATCAAAATTTCAACGGATTCTTTCTGGTTTTTATACAATTTTAAAATTACGTTAATTTTCAAAAATTCGCGTTTTGGTGTTTTTTAAAGGCCGCGAATTTGTTTTTTTTTAATTTGGTGAAGAAACGAAAAATCGAAATTTACAATTCAATAACAAAAAGAAGAAAGAAACGAAATCGAATATCAACCAACTTGATTTTCTAAAGAATTCCACAAAGATGGTCAAACAGAATATCCCACCACAACCACAAGCAAGAGCAGCTCCAGTTTCTGCTCCTCAACAGATTGCTCAACAAGGTGTCACTACTGTGCAAACACGTCCAACTGATATCAACATCCCTCATTCAATAGATAAAATTGTACCAGAAGTTTCATTATATAGGAAATTATTAGATGCTGAAAAGAAAATTGATATCTTTACTGCAAGAAAAATCAATGATTTACAAGAAAATATAAATAAAATCCCAACAAAGAAGGAAATCTTAAGAATATTTATTTTCAATACAGCTGAAAATCAACCATGGCAATTAAATCAAGGTCAACAATCAAATGAAGAACCAACTTGGAATTTAAGAATCGAAGGTAGATTAGTTAATGATGTTGATGCTGAAGATCCTCAAAGAAGAAAATTTAGTACGTTTTTAAATGGTATATCGATTGATATTCAAAATGATAAATCACCACAATCTCAACAACAACAACCAAATCAACAAGATCTTAATAAAGAAAATGTCATTGAATGGCATGAACAAACAGATCCAAATGCTCCAAAAGTTGAATTTGATGGATTAGATGTTAAAAGACCTGGTAGTCAAAACATTAAAACCAAGATTACAATTCAACCAAAAGAATCACCAATTAAATTAATCACATCAAATGAATTATCTTCACTTTTAGGTGTTAATGAATTAACTCAACATGATGCTGTATATTCAATATGGCAATATATTCAATTCAATAATTTACAAGCACCAGAAGATAAAAGAATTATAAATTGTGATGAAAATTTATCAAAATTATTTAATGTACCAAGATTTAATTTTAGAGATTTAATTGAATTATTATCAAAACATTTATCACCAAAACCTCCAATTGAAATTAATTATGAAATTAAAGTTGATAAATCTTCAACTTTAGGTGAAACGGTTATTGATGTTGAAGTACCATTTATTGATGTTTCAGAACAAGAATATTGGAAAAATGAATCTAAAAAATTATTAACAGAAAATGATGAATCTATAAAAGAATTAAATATGAAAATTATTCTGGGTATTCAAGCTTTAAATAATTCAAATAGAAAATATCAATTTTATAATTTATTAACCCAAGATCCTGTTCAATTTTTAAAAGATTTTACACAATCTCATTCTGAATTATTAAAAATTTTATCTGGTGATGAAGGTTATAATGAAGATACTGTTAGAAGATCAGAATTTTATACAGATGAATTACTTTCTGAAAATGTTGATTTATTATTGAAAACTAATAGAATTTAGAAAGGAATACCTTTGTGGGTTTATGTACTATATAGAAAATAAATAATGATGTTAATTGTGATATATGTAAGATTCTTAATAATCACGAACTTCAAATGCTTCACCTTCTCCTGAGAATAAATATGCATGATCTGGTTCAAATATGGCTTTTTCTAATTCAGGTTTAATAATTTCCCTTTCCACTATAGGACTTTCAATAACATCTAACAAAGAATCTAATAATCTTGAATCATCCAATATCTGTAAATTTGAATTATATCCAGTATCAATAACACTTGCTTTAGGGACAACATCTAAAAACCCACCAAAATATTTTTGAGAATTTATAGAGATTTCATCTTCAAGCGGTTTGAAAAAAGGATCTGTAATTTCAAAAAAACCATGAATGAATTTCTTAGATTTATCAAAAAAATAAGGATCTTGAGGATGATATAATTTAGTTTCTGCTCTTCTTCTTCTTTGAATAATTTTACTTGTTCCAATATTTGAATGCTTTTTGGTATAAAATCCCTTTGAGTTATTTGATAATGGATCTAAAAAATCTTTGAAACCTGTTCTTATTACAAGTACAACATAATGATTTTGGAAATTTTTACCTTTGGGTATTTCAATATTTTGTAAAATTTTTTGAAATTTTGTATTAGAGGAATCACAAATAATTATACCCTTTTTACCTAAATAATATAAAGGATTAATGAATTTAACAATATCACCTTTTTGTAAAGAATCAGATACTAAATTATGTTGTTTCAAAATAGATGAAATTTTAGAATCATTCATTAATGATGTTGATGGTTTGATCTTATCAATTGATAATTTACCTAAATTTTTATTTTGAATTCGAAGATATGTAAGATCTTTTGAGAATGTTTTTTGGAAATGTTGATTATATTCATCTCTATTTTTCCATCCATCATATATATGGTTAACATTTTCTTTAACTTTTCCAATTTGAGGGAATTCAGGTCTTGGAATTAAACTTGAAATCTCTTCAATACCCAAATTACTGAAAATTATACTATCATTCAATTGTGATAATTGTTCCTCATCATTAGATTTGAATTTTTTCTCTAAATTATTACTTTTTTGATGATCTTTAATAAAATCCTTTCTATAATTACTCTTTAACAATCTTGATTCATCTCTAGCAAAATATTTTGATGTTTTGGAATTTCTCTGGGTTCCAGATCTTGGTAATTTTTTCTCTAATGAATAATCATAATCTTTCATAAAATTCTTCATCATTTTAATTTTTTTCAAATAATCAAGTGGTTCACCATAAATAATTGATGAAGTGGAAAAATTTCTTGTTGGATTCAAATTTGTTGATTTTTTAAACATTGGATGTGTTGTATGTTTCTTTACAGCAGGTTTCGGGTCAATTTTTTGTTTTATGTCAGTTTGGAGATTTGATCCCAATTTTGAGTGTGATTTGGATAGTCTAAGGTATGTATTGAAATCATATTCTATAGAGTTTGAATCAGTATGGAGATCTTTTTTGTCATTTGTCGATTGTGTATTTGTTGGAAACTCAAATGAATCGTCAATTTTCTTGAAAGATGAGAAACCTGCTTTTGATAGATTATCTTCATTTTGAAGATTCAAAGTGTTATCATTCTTCTCATTGTGTGATTTGTTATTCTTTAAAGGCTGTGAAGCATTTTGATCTTTCCTTATACCAAGTAGTGAATCCAGTATCACAGGTGGTTTTTTGTTCTTCTTATTGGAATTTTTATGTTGACTAGATTTATTTTGAGTGAACTTCTCATCTTCAACCTTTTTAGTCTTCTTCACTGAATGTTTCTCATTTTTGGATTTTGTAAATTTCCCATTGGATCTAAAAGGTATTGGTTCATTATCAAACCCCATAACTTCATCCAATTGCTTATATTGCTTCTTCTTTTTCCCACCAAGTTGATGATCTTCGTTTAAATCTGTATTTCTGAATTCCCATCTTGTTGTCCCTGAGATCTTGTTGTACGTCGACAAGTAATCAACACCACTGTCCAATTCCTCTTCACCTTTACTTCCTTCTACTTCATCGACCTGTTTAGATCTTGATCCATTACTCTTGTATCTTTTACCAATAATACCTTTGATATACCGTATCTCACCACTTAAGCATCGCGTTGGAACACCACTTTGTCCCCTAATTATGTAATTCATGGATCACCAGCAGCCAACTTAGCAAACAACCAGCACCAAATCAACCAAAGTATCTGAATCCCTTTGAAATTTCTGTTCAAATTCTGTTCAAATTCTGTTGATTCAGCGCTTAATTTTAAATTTACTAAGAAAATCAAAATCAAAATTATTAATCCAATTACGTAATCTTGTCTGTCAAATCAACGACGTGTCAATAACTTTTTATTTTTTCTTTCTTTTCCGGTCAAAAACGTTCATGTGAATCATAAACAAAAAGTAATATAGTGATAAAGATAGAGATATTGACATCTTTATAGATTCAGATTCACATCATGTCATCCCAAACATACCGTTCTACTCGTTCCACCGGTGCTGAAGCCTTCTCTTTCGAAGAAACCGTCTTGAAAGGTTTAGCCTCAGATGGTGGTCTTTTCATTCCATCAGTTATTCCAAAAGTTGATTCACAAATTATTGAATCATGGTCAAATTTATCATTTCAAGATTTAGCTTTCCAAATCATGAGATTATATGTTAAAGAATCTGAAATCCCTGATGAAGATTTGAAAAAATTAATTCATAATTCTTATTCAACTTTTAGACATGAAGATGTTACTCCATTAAATACAATTGATGAAGGTAATGGTCTTTATCTTTTAGAATTATTTCATGGTCCAACTTATGCTTTTAAAGATGTTGCTTTACAATTCGTTGGTAACTTATTTGAATATTTCTTACAACGTAAAAATCAAGGTAAATCAGATGCTGATAGAGATGTTTTAACAGTTGTTGGTGCTACTTCAGGTGATACTGGTTCAGCTGCTATTTATGGGTTAAGAGGTAAAAAAGATGTTTCAGTTTTCATCTTATATCCAACTGGTCGTATCTCTCCAATTCAAGAAGCTCAAATGGCTTCTGTTTTAGATCCAAATGTTCATACTTTATCAGTTAAAGGTACTTTTGATGATTGTCAAGATATTGTTAAACAAATCTTTGGTGATGCTGAATTTAATAAAGATCATCATGTTGGTGCTGTTAACTCAATTAACTGGGCTCGTATTCTTGCTCAACAAACTTATTATTTCTATTCATATTTCCAATTATTGAAAAAAGTTGGTTCTGATAAAAAAATTCGTTTTGTTGTTCCAAGTGGTAATTTTGGTGATATCTTGGCTGGTTATTATGCTAAAGAAGTTGGTTTACCAGCTGATAAATTAATCATTGCTACAAATGAAAATGATATCTTGGATAGATTCCTTAAAAGTTCTAAATATGAAAAAGGTGGTGATGTTAAAGCTACGCTATCACCAGCTATGGATATCTTAATTTCAAGTAATTTTGAACGTTTATTATGGTATTTAGTTAGAGATAACATTACTAAATCAGATGAAAAAGCTGGTGAAACTATAAATAATTGGTTTGCTGAATTAAAACAAACTGGTTCTTTCACTGTTCAAGAAGAAGTTATTTCAGCTGCTAAAAAGGATTTCGATTCTGAAAGAGTTGATAATGCTGATACCATTAAAACTATTAAAGATGTTTATACTTCAAACACTACTAAATATGTCTTGGATCCACATTCAGCTGTTGGTGTTACTGCATCATATAGAAATATTGCACAAGATAAAGCTCAAAAAGTGGAAAATGTTAAATATATTTCATTATCAACTGCTCATCCTGCAAAATTCGCTGAAGCTGTTAATCAATCATTATCTTCAATTGAAGGTTATTCATTTGAAAAAGAAGTTTTACCAGAAGAATTAAAACAATTATCTACAAAAGAATTAAAAATTAAATTAATTGATGAAGCTAATGTTGAAGTTGTTAAAGCTGCAATCATTGAAGAATTACAAAAAGAAGGTAAATAGATTTATCTATGTTTTCAATAATTACCCCATATATAAATAAGAACCAAAAAAAATATCTTATATATACACGTTTAAGTTAATGTTTTTTATATCATTCTGTAACTTCATTAATCTTTGAATTTTCATCTTTTGTTTGAACTCTAGTACTTTCAACATCAATTTTTTGTTTTAATTTAACTTTCCCATCAACAATTTCCACTTCAAAACCTGCATTATCTAAAGTATCATCCTGGACAGCTTCTTTAGCTTCTAATTTAGCAACAAATTCTTGATTTTTTTCATTATTTAATAATAAAAATCTTAAACAAACTATACTTCTTTCTTTAATAAATGGTTCATTATCATCAATTATACAATTTGATAAAACAAGTTTTAAACCATGTGTTTCTCTCATTAATTCTTGTACTGAGAAATCTTTATATATGATTGATGATAAAGTTTCTATGATTAATGATTTTGTCTCTGGGAAATTTTTATAATAATCTTGAGTTTTAATATTTTCATTATTTGTATTTGTTTGTTTTTGCTTTTCTGAATCTTTTAATTTCTTTGGTTTAACATTTTGATGAATTGTCCCCAGTAATTCAACTAAATTTTCAACACCTTTATAAGATAACAAGAATTTTTTAGCATGTTCAAACTTAACTAATGTTGCAAATACATCCAGTACAGCATGTATGGTAAAATAAACAGTTTCTAAATCTTCTATACCATTTTGGAAATGTATTTTGATTTGTTCTAAAGTTTTTTGAAATAATTCATATATCCATGATAAAATAACTGTTAATTCGAAAACTTCCCAAGATTCTTTACTCGTTATGATCACAGTAGAAGCTTTTAAAAATCTAACAAAATCTGATTTGGAAGAAAGATTTGAAATATATGGTAAGAATGATTCATGAACAATCATTTTTTGGAAAATTGAAATGATTAATAATTCATGAGTGGATAAATCATTTTGGAAATTTAATTGTTCAAAATTTTCCAATATGTTATAAAAAATAATATCTGTCTTTTCTGATGATTTGAATCCACATGTTAATGCTTCTGAAATATTGAAGAAATTGTTGAGACATCTGAAATATAATGTCAAATCATCATGATCAATTTTCTTTTTAAAATCACCCAAAAAATTGTTTATAGAAAGTAATTCATTTGGATGATATGTTGTTTTATCAACTGTGGAGTTGAAAACACATTGTAATGAAGCAGTAATACATCCCTTTTCCAATATATGGTCAATATTTAGTGGTAAAACTGATTGTAAAAATGTGAAGATACTAGTTATTAGTTTATCATCTTTTGAAGGTATAGTTCTATCAGCAACTAGTAGATTTCTAGCTAGCAGTATAACACCACGCTTTATCCTTATACTTTTCTCTTGTATAGCTGAAGCATGTAATGAATTACTGATGACTTTGATTATGTATTCCCAAACAGTCTCGTCCTTTGCCAACTCTTCTCTGAATGATTCGTCTTCTAACGATTTTTTCACCACAAATGATAGTTCAGCTAGTGCCTTATCTTGAGCACCATCTTCTTGATTTTGAATACCATTTAAGGCACTTGTTAATGAATTGATAGCAATATTCACACCATCAGTTTGACCCATCTTTATCCTATCAACCCAGTATCAGATCTCAATATTTGAAAATCGATTATCTTTATTTATGTCTCTTTCAAATCTGCTTAGTAAAAAAAATATTGGTGAAGTAGTGGCCCTGTCTAAATTTATATACAAAATATTCAAAAGCTCATCTTTCAAGTTTTCAAAACATCAATAGACAGGCTCAAGTTCATTTGGAGGGAATACGATGTTTAGGCTTGTCACAAGGAAGCCAGAGGGTGCTTTTATATTACCGTCACTGATACGACATGCTTCACGGACAACAAAGTACACAGAGAAGCAGAAAAGAAGATTCGCAAGAGAGAAAGTTAGGAAGGACAGATTGAATAGATCGGCATTAGAAGCTTTCGGTACTATACCCATCTCAGACCATGATATTTTCCATACAAGTAGAGCACTCACAAAATTAGAAAGAAGGGAAAGTCATCTTCGGAAAAAAGAGCTATTATTTGAGATTTATCAACACTCTACTGATCATTTACTTAAAGATCGAGATTTAACAATTATTTCACAGATACCCATTGCAAAAGCTACTTTAATTCTTACCAGAAGTTTGGATCAATTTATAGAGATCGAAGGGGAAACATATGATTTGAACAATAGATATACGGAAATGAATAGAAGAGTTTATGATTATTCTTATCTTCAGTCATATCTTGATGATTATGATAATGAGGAACTTGATTTATTTATGAAATTATTACAATTTAAGAATAAAACAATCTTGAAAAGGGATCAACTTAAATACACAGATGATATTTCAAACTCACAGAAAAAACTCATAGCTTTGGATACATTAGTTGGTATTGATGATTTGGTAATTAAGGCCGCAAAAAAATTCCAACTTGAGAATCCTGATGAGGTTACTGAGATTACCCAATTAGACAAAGTTAATGAAGTCACAACAGACTTTACTGATCTTCAAGACTCAAAGGCATTGAGAAGAGCTATGAAAAAGGAACCAATTAATGCGTCTGGGTTTTATAGGTTAAGTTTGAAACATGCTTTAACTGTTCTTGAAGAGGAGGAAGCTATGAATGAGGTGGATTAAAAACACCCCAACCTATACACGATTAATTATTAATGATACTACGACCTACAAACCTTGTATATATATCTTTTATGAATGCATTAAACTTTTATATATGATCTATGTACTTTATTCTGAATCTTCTTCATCAGAATCTTCATCCTCATTTCCTAAACTGTTTGCTAAAGTTTTCTTATCAAACCAACCACCATTTTCCTCTTCATCATCATCTTCAGCATCTTCTAAATCTTCATCACTATCCCCATTTTCATCTGATTCTTCAATATCACTTGATGCATCAACTATGATGTTATCTTCATCTTCATCTTCAATATCCAATTCTTGATCTTTTTCAGTAGATGATAAGAATAAATATGAGTATTCATTATTTTTAGAAGTCTTAACAACATGTTTAGCAACTCTAGCAATGAAACGTTGAGCACCTCTTAAAGCTGAAGCAAATTCATGTTTATGAGTATTGATATATTTCCCATGAGCTGTGATGATTGATTTCAACCATAATAAATTGAATTCAACATGTGGTGAAGTCATTGCAATTGATGAAATAAATGATAATAATCTTTCAACATAAACTATAGGGAGGTCATTAGCTAATAATTTAATATCAACAGCTGGGACGCTTTCATAAACTTGATGTATTAAATATCTTTCATTTAATCTGAAAGCCATAGCTAATGCATTTAAGTAGTTTTTTTCTTTCAATGTTTCTAATGTAGCTTCTGGTGTAATATCAATATCCAAATCAAATGGATCGAAGATAACACTATCATCAACTGAGAAAATTAAAATACCTTCAGTGGAAGAAGCAGCAAATGAAGCAGCAGTTGGTGAAAATTGAATACTTGTAACTCTAATTTCTGGTCTTGTTTTACGTAATGATGGATCACCACGTTTAGAACCCGGTAATGAATCATCTAAACGGTCTTCTAAATCTGAATTTTCACCATCTCTATCTAAAAGATCCAAAGATCCAGCATCTGTTAATCTTGAACTATTCAAAAATTGTTGTGTACCATTCAAATCCATATTTAAAGAAACAGTAAATCTTCTCAATAGAACTTCATTTGGAATATCATATAAACAAATAGAATTATTATTACCACCAGCGACTAATGCTAACCCGTCAAAACTATAATCAATAGCAGTAAAAGCCTTAGATCTTGATGAATTATGTGCAGTGAATCTATCTTCTAAATATCTCCCACTGATTATATCTTTACGACCATCAATATTACCAGTTTGTTTAGCATTTTCAACATCCCAAAATTGAACTTGACCATTCAATGTACTAACTGCAATTTCTTTAGAATCAGGTCTCATAGCAATAGCCAAAACATCAGAATAAATTTCAAATGGTTCAACTTGTTGTGAACGACCAAATAAACTCCATACTCTAACAGTTTTATCCCAACTTGCACTCGCTAATACACTATTCTCCACACCAAAAGCTAAACAAGAAACTGGACCTTCATGACCAGCTAAAGTATCAACTAATTGTGCTGTTTGAACAGACCAAACATAAATATCAAAAGTATCTTGTGAAGCTGCACATATCACTTCACCACTTGGATCAACAGCTAATGCACTAAACTTGATCCTTTCTGTAGCTGTGAACGTTCTAAAATTACGATACCTTATAAGATCCCATGCCTTAACAGTACCATCCATTGAAGCTGAAAACATAACTTGACCCTTTTTAGCAAATCTAACAGCTGTAACTGCTGATGTATGTTCTTCAAATGTATTCAAACAGAAACCTGAAACAACATCCCAAATTTTGATTTTACCATCATCTGAAGCTGTAACGACTCTTGAACCATCTGGTGAATATGCTAAAGCATTTGTTGAATCAAAATGACCTTGTTGTTTCAAGATGTAAGATTCTGATTGCCATTCATAAACTAATAATTGACCTAATTTTGCAGAACCAAATGATAACCATTCACCTGATTTGTTTATATTAACTGTATTAACTTCATTTTGACCCATACTTAGTTGTTGAATCATATTGAACTCTGGAAGTTCATAAAGACGGAATTCACCATTAGTGAAACCAACAACCAGAAGGTTACTTGATGGATGGAAAGCTGCACATTTTACTTTAGCATCTGAAAAAAAGAAATTCTTTTTGGTGATTCTCCAACTCATTAATGATGGATCCACTTCTTCGTCTGAGTCTGGTTCTTCTTCATCTGAATCATCACTTGGCTTTTTGGTATATTCCCATTGGAATAAAGCACCATCTTTACTGATTGTATAAATGATTTCTTGATCTTTTGAAAAAAATGCATTGATAACTGTATCTCTATGACCTGCAAATGTCATTGCAACAGAACTTTCATCAGAATCTAATGAGAAAATTCTTGATGTTAAATCTTTGGAAGTGGAAACAAAAAATCTTGAATCAGAAGACCAAGTGATTGATGTAACATCTGCAAAATGACCTGCATAGACTCTATGACGAACAAATGGTGCAAATTGTCTATCTTCTGTATAATCTGGAGTTTTCCATACTTGAATAAATCTACCACAAGCAATGGCAAAATAACGGGAGTCTGGTGTGAATTTCAAATCTTGAACTTTATCTTTAAAATTGAAATGATGTAAAACAGTACGAGCATTGAAATTAACTAATATAGCTCTACCATCAACATCAACTGATAATAAAAGAGTTTCTTGCTTATTCAAAGCAATACGTGCAATATTCTTTCTGTGTTCATATGGTAAAGTGTATGATTTGTTATTGATCAAATCAAAGACAGAGACTCTGTTACCAACAGGACTTAAAAGTTTTGTACCATCTTCTGTGAATAATAAATTACCTTGAGAGTAAACAGTACCCAAAAGATTTGAGAACTAAGCTTTGTTAGTATTCTGTTTCTTCAAGAAGTTCAACTTCGAGAAAATATCTCTTTCCATAATACTCACTTTAAAGTCTGATTTCATCTTCAAATACCTTGTTCAACTGGGCTCGATTTCAACTTTTAAATAAATATATTATAGATCTTTATGCTTTACTTCATCTCATCGCATAAAAAATTATCGGGAGTTGCCCTACCTGAAAAAATATTTACTGGCCCGGGAAATCTGTACTGCACTTTATCAGGTTTGTATACATTTGAGCATTTCCACCAAGAATCACCACATATAAGACCAGTTTAGTAGCACTATTACACTTTAATAATGGCTGCTGGTACCGGGGGCTTCTCCAAAAATGTTTTGAACATGAAGGTAAGCTGTTTTTCTTTGAAAACATCGATTTAAATATAGCATTTATTAACCATGAAAATATGAATAGTTCATGAAACAAGCTGAAAAGAGAGCTGAAGAACAAGATGAAGAACAACAAGAGAGTAAACTCAAGGATTTATCAGAGTGGAAAACATCTAATGCTGAAAAATTGAAACAAAAAGCTCAAGCTAAGCCAAAAGTGATAGCAGTCGGGTTTACTGCATTGAATAGCTTAAATAATGGACCACCTGTGATAGGAAGAAGAACTTTTGGAGAAACAAAAAAGGAAGAAAAGAAACCAGAGCAAGAACAAGAAGGAAAGGTCAATGATTTAGATAAACTATGGCAAAAACAAAAAGAGGAAAGATCTGAACCTAAAAGTGGGAAAAGATCTAAAGATGAAATACCCAAGAAAACACAAAATAAAAAGAGGAAATCTACAAATTGAACTGAAAGCTACTAAATTTACATATAGATAACTAATGACAGGTTTTAATGAACATTTTATTGTAGTATTGGTGATTTATATGCATAGAATTTTTCAAGTTATTTTCTCTTCTTTTTAGATCTTTTAGAATCATCAACCAAACCAGCCTTCACAATACTTTCTGATGCACTCTTATTTATATGTTTAAATCTATCAGGACCTATATGAGTACCACCAAACCATCTACTTACGACAACAATAACATTCCAAACATCCATAACGGTTAATAAATGTAATAAACGACCACCAGCTGCAGTTTCACCATCATCATCGTAATCTTGTACCCTTGTATTATCTGAGTTTTGGATTCTATATGCGACCATATTATGATTTGCCTTTGAAACCTTCTTATCCATCTTTAATAACGCTAATTTTTCATTAGCTTCATGTTCTGATTCAACTTTCCGTACAAAACCAATAAATGTTGAGCCTCTATCAGTGATTGGATCTGATATAGTCCATCCCTCCAGCGAATCAATATGAACCTCTTCAACTTCATCAACATTTCCTGATGTTTCTGGTTCTTCTTCAATATATAGAATACCTTCTAACTCTGTACAAAAATCAAAAATGCAAACGTTTCCCTCAACAAAGATTGAATCAAGCACCTCATTGAATAAAGTCTCCAAGTATTGGTCATCGTGACCATTAGACCGCACTTGTAAAATATGAGGAGGGTCCGTTTGTGGATATGATTCAGGAAATGATATTCTGGCGATAAACTCTTCATGTTGAGGTATCTTAAGATCTATTAAATTGTCGTTCATTCTGACAAGACACTCGGGATAAATTGCCTCTATGGCATCAAGCTCATCTCTCAAGTCATCTGAGACCATTATGAAGATATTTGAAACTGGTTTAATGGTTTATTAGTTTAGTTTTTGAAGTTTCGAAAGATTATAAGATTCTTAAATCCTTTGATGTTGATGATTTCAATTTCCGATGCGGCAACATATTTTTTTATACGTATCACTTTTTTAACCGTTAAACTTTACTCAGTAAAAACAAAACGAAGCACATCTTATGATCTGACCAATTTCTGTTAGAAATGAGTGATATTTTGAAAGCTAAAGGTAATGAAGCGTTTAGTTCAAAGGACTACACAGTTGCTGCTGAACTATACGGTCATGCTATCACCCTGAACCCAGCAGATGCTGTTCTTTATTCAAACAAAGCTATGGCATTGATCAAATTATCAAGTTGGAAAGAATGTGTTGAAACTTGTGATACAGGTCTATCGAATTCACCAGATAAAAAAACTAAATTGAAGTTATTTTGGAGAAGAGGTATAGCATACACTCAATTAAATGATTTTAAAAATGCAAGAGATTCTTATGAACAAGCATTACACAATGAAGCTAATAATTCAAGTGTTTTGAAATCAATTGATGAATTAAATGCCCAAGAATCACAATTCAAAAGAAGTCACAGTATAGAAGAAATTAAATCTGAAAAGAAACCTAAAAAAGATAACGGACTGAAGAATATACCCATCTACGAAGTTGATCAGTTACCAGAAGAGTTTAGAGATTCAAGTTCTAAACCATCAAAAAAATCAACAACAACAAAGCAAACTACACAACCTCAACCAGTTCAATCTCAAATACAAGTGAATCCACACAGTGCTCAAATACCTGTCTCCACAAATATTTTAAGTAAACCATCAAACTATCCTGAAAAACCAACAATTCATCAATTACTTACAATTTCCAAATGTAGTGTTGATGAAAGACCATTTGCATATCGTTATTTATCATCACTATCACCAGAAGTTTACAAAGCTATATTTTCAGGTGGTAGTATAGAATCATCAATTGTTAACTTTATTCTTGATTCTATAATTTTCTCTATAGATGCTGGTTGTATTACATGGGATTACATTGTATCTTTGTTAAATACTTTATCCTCTGCACCAAGATTTTCTTTAATAAGTATGTTTTGTGATAAACAAAAACTTTTCAAGATAAAAGAAGGACTAGTCACTCTTGATGCAGCTGCCAACATAAAGTCCAAAGAGGTATTACAAAAATGGAATATTTAAAATAATATAAATATTTATGTATATAAGCTATAAAACAGAGGTTATGCCATATAGAAACACCAAACATTAGTTTCAACCTCTCAATGGATTTTTTTTTTGCATCAATCTGTAGCCTTTCAACCCTTTCTTAGTACTAGGGCCTGTATCTGGTTGGATAAGTTGCTGAAGAACTTCAGGTACGTATTCTGCTAAATTAATTTTCAACACTTTATTTAGAATAAAAGGTAACATGAATAACGCAACAAAGAAACACAGTACCAAAAGAAAGACAAAAAGGTAAAAATGAACAACTATTCTTCTCTTTCTCTTCTTTTTTGAAGATAAAATTTGAGGACGAAGCTGCCTGTCAGGTTTTAACCAAAATAATAACAACGAGTGCCATCTATCAACATAAGGAATGAATAAAATTGGTATCTGGGTAAACAAAATTAAATGCCCGAGAGTAAAGTCAGCTGAGAACATACTCAATTCCACAATTTTACATAAAAATTCACGGCCAGGTTGTGTGAAAATACCCCATCCTAAACCAGCAGTTGCCCATTTACCTGACCACCAAGCTCTATTACTTCTATCGTGTTTCAATTCTCTAGTCAAGAATATAGATGTTATCAACTTGAAGATAAATCCTTGAATCATAACACAGCAGCAGAATCCTAAGACAGTATTTTTGAAGCTCCAATTTTGAGCAAGCCATAACAGTTCGAAGAACACAATATGATTTATGA